AAAAAAAAAAAAAAAAGAATCTAATTTGGCCAAGTCATAAAGTCATGGAAATCAGTATGGTGTTGTGGCTATTAAGATATTTTTGGGGTCAGTCAGGTAGATTTGGATTCAGATCTTGGCTCTGTTACTGACTCCCTCCTGGCCATCCTTGCCGGTTATTTCTCAGGGCTTTTGTTGTGTCGTATATAAAAACAGGATGATACTGTCTGTCTTGCAGAGTACTGTTACAGGGATTACTAGAGGTAATGGGTATAAAATGCCTGCCACAGTGACTGGTACTTAGTAAATGGCATTTTTAAATTTGTATTTGTTCTAATTCTCTTATGCCTGTAGTAACTTAGACAGATGGTCTTTTGTTTTTTAATCCTTCTTTGGGAAAGGACATTTTACGTGTTTAAACACAAGAATAACAACTTACATTTTCAACTGGTTCTCGCCCTTCCTTATACTTTCAAATTTCTAAACATGCAAGTGTCTGAATACTTACAGTTAAGAAATATTACTGGTATGAGTCTGTTTAATGCTTCCTTGTTCTTTTGGAAATTTATCTTAGAGAAAAGAATGTCCCTTCAAGCTAAAGTGAGGTTTGGTATTGATCCCTGAATTTCATCTTTGTTAATGTTAGCTTCATTACCAAAGATGATAGAGTTCCCTGGAGCCCTCCACTCACCCCCAAATTTGGGGACGTGGTGGTGGTACCTAGTGAATGAAATAAAAACACTATAATATTGATAGACTTCAGGTTCGGTAATGGAGCTCTCAGATGTCTCCATTATGCTGTGAGTTAATTGAATCTTTAAACTTCAGTTTTTCCCTAAGTAAAGCTGATTGGATTTTCCTAGCTTTTTGTATATTAAATGAATAGATGTGATCCTTCCCGTAGTGATTTAAAGAATGGGGGATTAGATGGAAAGATGGAGATGTTTGTGTGATCTTCAGGCTTACAAGTACTCCATGTTAATCAGTTATAATTTTTTCCTTTCTTGTTGTTTAACGAAGACTACTGGATAAAGCCTGGAGACCATGTGATGATGGAAGTGTCTTGTCAAGACTGTTACTTAAGAATCCAGAGTATTAGTGTCTTGGGTTTGGAATGTGAAATGGATGTTGGAAAAAGTTTTACCAAGAATAAAGACTTGCTATCATTAGGAAATGAGGCTGAACTCTGTAGTGCCCTGGCTAATCTTCAGACCAGTAAACCAGATGCTATAGAGCAGACCTGTGTATTGGAGTCTACGGAAATTGCTTTGCTTAATAACATCCCATATCATGAAGGCTTTAAAATGGCAATGAGGAAAGTTTTGTCTTCACTGACCCCAGAGAAACTGTGTCAGGCCATGGATACGCACTGTCAGAATAATGAGATGGGCTCTGGTACAGGTCAGAATAATACCGCACAGAGCACCCCCGAACCTTTCTACGTGTTAGATGTGTCTGAAGGCTTCTCTATTCTGCCTATCATTGCTGGCACACTTGGGCAGGTTAAACCATATAGTTCAGTAGAAAAAGACCAGCATCGTATTGCTCTGGACCTCATATCTGAAGCCAATCACTTTCCTAAAGAAACACTTGAGTTTTGGCTGAGACATGTGGAGGATGAATCTGCTGTGTTGCAAAGGCCAAAATCCGACAAGTTATGGAGCATAATTATATTGGATGTTATTGAGCCATCTGGGCTCATTCAGCAGGAAATAATGGAAAAAGCCGCAATATCCAGGTAAAACAGAAGATAACTTTGGGGTTTTTTTGAGGTCAAATTTCATGTCAACTCCTTTAGTTCTTTAGTCACATAACCATAAAAACGAGTCAAGATCATTGTATGTTCTTCAAGCATTGCTTTTCAGGATCTGTGACTTCTTCATTCCTTTCTCTTTGTATGCATGCTATTATCGATTTTTTCCCCCTAAAGGAATCTCTATACTTAAGTGTGAAGAAGAGAACCTGCTTTGGGATTGGACTGCTTATATATAATATAGGGAATTAGGTGGGGCTCTGGGGCTCTATAAAAACAGATAAAACATTCCGGGAAAAAAAGGAAAAGTTAAATTTCATCTTTATGTGTAAGAAACATATAAGAAACACCTCTAAGAAACGTATAGTACACATTTGATAGCCTATTGGGAGAGCAAACTGCTTCTTAGGAATAAATCCTAGTCCTCTTGGGTCTTAAAATCTTTATTTTATAATATAGTTCTCTCCCTAAAAGTATTTCTTTTTCAGTGTAGGTTGCTTGAGGTAAACTTGGCCTTAATATTTAATATTGGAAAGCAAATTCAGTTAAGTTACAAAGTCCTTTAGTTGCTGCTCAAATCTGAGAAGAAGGTAGGATGTAACATTTGGTTACCCAGATTTAGGAAAAATGAATGTTACAGAATTTAAATTTTATTATATAGGAACAGAGGTAGTATAGGAACAGTGGATAACAATATTTATCCATTGAAGATAAATATTTGACAAAACCAGGAAAAA